TTTATTAAGCATTAATGAAAATACAAGATGTTTTATGTATATAATTTTACGACGCCTGCGTTGAACAATACATAATTCAGTACAATTTGATTAAAAATATTAAAAAATTACGTAGCTCTTTATAATTTGCATACTCCTTAGGTAAATCATAATAATTAACAACATTTTTTTGTTAGGTATTAGAGATTAAGATTGGATGATCAGGATCTCATGCACTCTTTTCTTGTTAGAATGTCTGATAATTGTTTTTGATAAAAAGTAGTTCATAGTTGCTTGATTTCTTTTATAGTTAAACTTCAGTTAACCGCTTGATTGTTGATAATCTAAATGGTGTTTCTAAAGTTTTAGTGAGTTTTACATTTATCTCGCTATTATGGTTATTTATTTATGTATCAAGTAAGCAAAATAGTTTTAGGAAACGAATCGTGCTTAAGGACAAAGTTTTTAATGAAAAAGTCTCTTAAAATTACTCGGTTTTGCGTACTATCATACAAGATCTTTTTGAACGAGCTTTCTAAACTATCAAATTGATTTAAAAATTTATGAAAACTATGTAATCAAAAAGTCCTCTTGTTAAGCTAGCGTAGAAACGTGTTGAGAGCAATGTCAAATTTATTTTTATATGGTAAATTCTGTTATGAGACCATGGTATACGATTTGTATGGGTAAATGCCAAAAACATCTTTTTAAGAATGTTTTGTGAGCTTTCACAGTAATTCAACTGATATAGGCCCTATTTCTGGCACGATTAAATCTCAGTTAAAATATAACTGTTCTTTTGATACTAAGGTAGCGCTGCTGTGATTGGTGTTACCCTGGATTAATCGAGGCTTAAATTTATTTCCTCGTTAAATAAGTTTATAAAAACCGGGCCTTAGATCAGTATTTTTATTTTAATATAGCAAAAACAGATTTTAATGTTGCAATAATACTTACTTGTAATTTTCGATTTAAGTAAAATCGTGGAGATGCCGGGAAAACAGATATGTATATGCTTACATTATACAGGGAGATTTACGTAAACGTTTGTTCTTAACGCTTTTTAAAATTTATTTTTAATTAACTTAGCTTTATTAATTTATTTCAAATTTATCGAAACGTAGAAATTTTGGAAAATTTATGATTTTTTCTTTTGATTTTGATTTATTTGTTCAAGTAAATTGACAAACAATCCTCTGATTGTTGGCTCTCCAAGTTCTAATTACTTTATTTTTATGGTGAATAAATTTAAGTGTGCTCTAAACTTGTGTTTTCTTTCTTACAACACGGCCTCGTTATACCTCGGGTCTCTTAGAATTTTCCTTTCTAATTATTTTTCTTTTGTTATTTCAACACACAACACAATGTAGGGGAAAAGGACAATTTTTGCCGTTCACGATTTCGGCAGTCTAACTGTTTGGGAAATATTGACTAGGTCCCCCTTTCCCGAAATATTACACTACTTAAAATTATATTTATCTGCGAAAATTCGGCCTATGACAAACAATTTGTACATATAGCTGCCGTAGATCTTTATTAATTGTTTAGTGCACACGTATTTCACATTAATTTGTCACAGTTACTTCGTCATAAATTATAAATTGAACGTGCTTTGAATATGATGAAAATGGGAATATAATTTAATCCTATATCTGTTTTTTATCAGTCTATCCTAATTTTGGTGTTTTATATAATGGAAATGTTCTTTTTCTATTAGAAATATTTTCTCATACTTAAAAAAACATTTCGAAAATTGTTAGTTTTCAAAAATAATTATTATTATCTCTAAATGACACAAGCTCTAGTTTTTAGTAGTAAATTTATTTAACAGTAAAATACATCTCTGAAAATAACTTTACTTTTGTTTTATCTTATTGAAAATGATGTTATAAAACTATTTTTTTAAATCATAGCTTGCTACGACAAATTGGCAACATTTGGCATGTATAGCTGCTGTTCGCGTTACCTATACAGCGTGTGTCCGAACTCGCTCCCCAGAGAAGAATTTCAATTAAGATAATATACCAGGAACATGGAAAAAAATGTTTAAAAAATTTTATCTATCAAAAAATTTTGACATTTATTTTTTGATATTTGACATTTATTTATGTCTATTTAATGATACTAATGATCTTGTATATATTTTTTATAATCATTTAGTGAAGGTATACAAATTTTGTCAATAAAAGCCACAAATAATACAATTTAGGATGCAGCTTCCTTGTTTCCTCTTCTAATAGTCCGTAGCAAAAATACTTGTAAAATTATTTTTCAACAGAAATAAATAGTCAAAGCGCAAAATTTAAACTCTCATAACTTCGAAAGTTTTATAGATACAATTTTTTTAACATTTTGGAAATACGAGATATGGACAACGCTGCAGTAGACAAAAACAAAAAACAAATAAAATTGGTGACTATAAAAATAACCTACTACCAGCTTTTTCACCAAAATTTTGACTTGGTAATTTCTATCTTTTGAACTTACTTTTTTCTATTCAAACGTTTGGAAAACATTATGGCACAAACTTGTGAAAGTGTGAGAGTGGAGGGTACACAATGGGCCGTATGAATAAAATTGAGTAAATGCTTTTACTTCAAATTTTGCAAGTAAATGCTCCAAAATGTATGAATAAAAATGTAAGTATAAGCCTTTACTAAAAGTAAAAGCATCTTGGGCGAGTATTTGCTTCAACGTCGAGGTTTTACTCAAAACAAAATGAATAAAACAAAGTAAACGTTTTTTTCATTGAGCATTTACTTCAAAATTCTTGATGCTAATCAGTACGAGCATCACTTTTTAAAAGTAACACATTAAAGTCGAAACGATGGTACTGTAACTAAGGGTAAGAAAAACGTACAAACAACGTCGCAAATCTTTAGGGAAAGATTTCAAAACTTTATATTGGTTTGAACGAGAAAATCTTCATGCCTTGGTTAGGTATTTTTTGCCTGAGAACAACAAAACGCAAGGAAGTGTCCTGTCCGACGAACAAAAATTAAGAATATCCTCCGGTACTTGGCAGATCCTAGATTCCAAACAGGAATTAGAGAAGAACCTGGAGTTCATTAAAGCATAGTTTATAAAACCATAACTGAAGTGATGAACAGGATTTTAGAAAAAGCTGATGAGTGGATTCACTTTCCTTCGACAAGTATTTAAATAAAACAACAATGACATACCAAATATCACTTCCCAACTGCACTTGGAGCTAGATTATACACACGTTCGAATTTCGAAACCTTCTTTATATGCGAATGAATATATAAATAGGAAAAACTTTACTAGTTTAAATGGCAACTTGTGATGCCAAGGACATGTTTAGTAGTATTGATGCTTCATGGCCAGGATCAGTTTATAATATCCGATTATGGAAAAATTCATAAATTCGAGAACTTTTTTGTAGAAAAAACTTAACGCCATTTTATTAGGAGATAGTGGATATGGCTTAGAACCTTGGCTTATGACTCCTTTTCGCACACCAAAAAATCCTACTAGGTTAAAATCTTACTGGCCTACTAGGTTGACTTATTTTTGGAGCATATTCTTCGAAAAATTTAAGCATTTACTCCGAAGTAAAAGCAAGAGCTTATTCACACTTGATGATTTCTGTCCGAACGCTCAGGATATTTTGACATTTCTGTTACTTTTGTAACACATATTTTTTTCATAAGAATCCAATTTTTGTGACTTATTTCACCTTAAAAAATGCAGTTGCAATGTTTCTTTTGTATCAATCGAAAAGTCATGAGATATAAATTTTGTATTTTTTAAATCACTAGTATGACTACTAATTGTAAAAAAGAGAAAGATAGTAATATAATAATGTTTTGAGTTTGTGTTGTAAAATTATTAAAAAAATATACACGGTGATTTAAAAGCGTCGGACAACCTCTTATACGATGATAAAAAGCGTTAATTAGATTTGCTTTTATAATTTGAATGAATACTTAAAGATTAAAAACTACGCTGCGAAACATTTTGAGCCACCTTAGGCCTGGACTTAAAATTTAAAGCGTTTGTTACTACAAAAACTAACAAATTTTTGATGTGCTGTTGAAAAATTAACCTTTTCAGAAAATTTCTACATTTGAGAGTGGTTTTATGCACGTTTCATTAATTATACTTAATTATTTTTCAATATTATAATTGCATGTTTTAACGTCTTTTAATAAAATACAAAATTACATTCTCTACTAAATAGAAAAATAATATTCAAATGGCATTTTTTAAACGTTATATTTACCTAAAACAAGTTGACCCCAACATTTTTGTTTGTCAATTTAAGAGTAATTTGATGGTTTTAAAAACCCACGCGTGCTTGTACAACCCTTTTGAATCACGTTGTAAGTATAACGTTCATAGTTTTGTTAAATGTTTGTTGAAATGGAGGGAAATGGACTGTTAGTCAATAATCAGTTTTAAGAATGTAAAATGATTTCTTTGAAACTTGTTGACATAAACTTTATTTATGATGCCTTTTTATATTTTTAACATTTTAGTTTGGCAGAAGCGGCCCACATGTAGTTTTATTCTAAATAAAAATTTAGTTTTGATTCTTTGAAGTTGTTTGTGAAAAATTATTCAATGTAACGCATTGTTATATTTTCTATAACACGAAATTATTTTCTACGTCAAAAATATGCGAATCCTTTTAAAATTCACTCGAACTGGAAATAACACAATAGCATTTTACCCGACCAGTTTTATTTTTCAGATTCGTAGAGCTTCAACGACCTTTGACAGAACGCAAACGACAGAAAAATTCCAAAGTCATAAAATATAACCGATTTATATCGGCAATATTCCCTGAAAAGTAAAAAAAAACCATTATGATGCAAGTCGATCTGACCTGTTGATAACAATATGAGCGCAAGCGCCATCAATTTCATTCACGAGCACTTGATGAATACGCGACTAAATAAATTCAAGTTGCTGAAACTCTCTTCAGTTTCAGCGCGCACTTCAGTAAGTATGTCGCGCCGTGCTTTCAGGAGCAACTAATCGCCAACGTAAAAATTATGCTATTTTTTATATATTTTTTTTATTGGACGAGTGTCTGTTTCGCATTAGACCAAACCACTTGTAGCAATTCGAGTAATTCGAGTCAAGACTACGAAGTACTTTACAGCTATTTGACAGGAACAGGGGCCCACAATTTCAGCGAGTCCGTTACTATCGGCTTCTTGGGGGCCTACGGGCAAGCTCAAGTCGTTTTGGGAGCTTTACCGCTGGCAGTTGAAGCTGTCAATGAGGATGCAGGTTGGTGAGCTTTAATGAATTTTTTTGATGAATTACTTTGACGCACCCTTGCAGCGATTTATCTTATCTATTTTGAGACTTACAGCTTAATCAAAAAACTGTTTATAAAGTTGTAGCTTTTATAATTTCTGATCAGAATTACTAACTACATTAATAGTAGAATAACTGAATTTTATTTCATTACACAAAAGATTAAATAAATTTTGAACTCACCAATAGCTTTTAATCTTAGCCTGCTCTTTACAAACGATTATTATTTTGAAAGAGGTTTTCTAGTTTAGTAGACTTTTAAAAAGTATTTGATTTGTTTTTAATGGATAAGAGAACAAGATAAAAGTCGCGAAATTAGACATTTGCATTGCATTGCATTTCCATTGTTTGCAGAAAAAGTCCATAAATGAATTTCTTCCAATTTGAAGAAACATTTTGAAGAGTTGAGGAATATAGGGTAAAATGAATTTAATTTAAAATTTTTATGGTATTTATGCTCTGTAACAGTAAACAGTAAAGGGTAAGTTTTCGAATTTTGTTACTGAAAGTGACAGGAAACTTCAGTCAAAATAGTTAGAGTACTTTTTACCCTATTCCCCTAGTTTAGGACGCCCTTGATTAAAAATTTCGATATTTTACTTTTGAATTCGTGTAGGTGTGTAAAGATTATCGATCGGGTTATCCGCTGTACCAAATTTTTTTCACCTGCTTAAATTTGTAACAATACAAACAGAACATTCTGTATATTATACCTAATAAATTGGATTCGCCACTTCACTAAAATGAACTCATTTTTATTACCTCTGCTTTAATATAAAAGCAAACACAAAAATAAGTTTATCTTTATGTCTTATAAACACATTTTCCTGTAACTTTCTTTGCGCTTTTAGTACAATAAAAAGTAAACATAAGATTCCACCATTAGCAATACATCGTCATGTATTAAGGCGAAAAATTATAGGGGAAATGTGGCTAAAATAATTAATTATTATTATTGGAGATTAGGTTAAAATTATTCTTGTTGGTAAAATACCCGACTTGATTTAGGATAAAATGGGATAACAAAAAAGTCAAACAGTTTGAAGATGAGGCTAGTAGAAACTCATGTAACGATTACTTTGGTTTTTATTTAAAAAGCAAAAGCGGAGAGGGATGGGGATTTGCTGCATATTATGGGGTCAGTCTTAAAATTCATACATATACAGGGTGATTCACGAAGAATAATAAGCCTGATCAAATTCTCGATGCAATCAACATTAATTGTCGCAAAATAACTTGCGAAGAGTAATAGTGGTTGCATCGAGAATTTGGTCAGGCTCATTATTCCTCGTGAATCACCTTGTATACAGCCTGTTCCGGCTAAACCTCACATTAGAATTATTGAGAGTTCTCTCAAGAATATTTATCTAAAATTTTGTTAATAGCCATAGTCGGTTAGGTTTTGTTCAATGAAAATATTTTCAAGATGGCGGAAGTGGGTATCAACTTCGTGAAATTAAATAAAAAACAGAGTCTTTTGTTGCGTTTTTGAATTACTCAATTGTGGACAGGACTGTTGGGGAATATCAACCAATTTCATTATTGTAACACTCTTCTGGATTGCTTAATGATAATAATTATTGTTTGTATATGTACATACAGGGTTGTACGGAAAGTCATGCACCTTCTTGAGTAATTGGGTAGTTGCCCAGAGTACTGAAAAAATGTTTAAAAAATATTCTGTCAAAAAATTTTTACATTTATTGTTTGACATTTGACATTTTATGATACTGATTTAATGATACTGATTATCTTGTATATGTTTTTTTTATAATTATTTAGTAAAGGTACTTACAAAAATTTTGCTATTAAAAGCGACCAATAGCATTAAACAGTGTTACAATTTAGGATACAGCTTCCTCGTTTCCTCTTCTAATAGCCTGTGGCAAAAAAACTTGAAAAAATATTTTTCCAACAGAAATAAATAGAGTCAAAGTGCAAAATTTAAACTCTCGTAACTTCGGAATTTTTATAGATAGATCTTTTTAAACATTTTTCTTGTTGTCTAGGGCACCGCCCGATGATACAGTGAACGGAGGTGTGCGACGTTTCGGACACCTGGATATATTAAAATCAATGTTTTTTTATACAATCCCAAACGGAATTTTGTATTTTGCTCATACAAATGTTCGTTATACAGGGTGCGCCAGAACTCGCGTCCCAGAGAAAATTTTCAAGTAAGGTAAGATACCAGGAACATGAAAAAAATGTTTAACAAATTCTATCTGTCAAAAAATTTTGACATATATTATTTGACATTTTTTATATCTATTCAATGATACTGATGATCTTGTATATGTTTTTTACAATTATTTAGTAAAAGGACAAAAATTTTGTCAATAAAAGCCACAAACAACATTAAAGAGAGTTACAATTTAGGATAGAGCTTCCTTGTATCCTCTTCTAATAGCGTATAGCAAAAAAACTTGGAAAATTATTTTTACAACAGAAATAAATAGTGTCAAAGTGCAAACTTTAAACCCTCATAACTTCGAAATTTTTATAGATAATTTTTTTTTTACATTTTTTCCATGTTCCTGGTATCTTACCTTATATGGCATTTTTCTCTGGGGCGCGAGTTCTGGCGCACCCTGTATGTATTAACCGGCGCATATAAGAATAACTAACAAAAGTTGGCCTTTGTGAGCCACAAAGTTTAATCTTTACTTAATTAACTTTTTACCTTTTATGCTTTTTTCAAACATTGTTGGTTTAATTAGATTTTCTGAAAAGCCCCTCTCTAGACTCTGCTTATCTAATTCTAATTCCATTTGTTGGGCAATATGCAAACAAAAAGTTAAATGTATTAAAAATCTTAAAAATGGTATATAACACGCAACGGATAATAAAAATATTTTTAAAATATGTACTTTAAGTGATGTCCGGGATGTTCAAAGAGCATATCAATACAGGGTGTTCGTTTTTAGAGCTCCACCATGGGGATCTCAGTTATTATAAGAGATACGAGGTCGGTTAGATTAGGGCAAAGTTGCGCATTTTTATGCTGAACAATAATAAATTGGATTATTGAAAAAAAACACGGAAATTTGTAGTTTTCGTTTTTATTTTTTCAAGCGAAAACTAAAAGACCTAGACGTTTTTAACTAGGACGTTCTAAAGGCATTTTTTTACAAGGAATCTAAATCTGTCATTCAAGGCGCTCTTGATATCAGAGTTACAACACTCAACTTTGGATTTTATTTTTCAATAATTTTTTTTTTTTGTAATATTTTGACATTTTGTTGGTGGTTGGCCATGGAAAACACATTATTTTCGAGATTATTTCCGTTGCAGTGACTGATATTCAAACTATTGTAAAAGATAATGATATATAATACTATTTTTATTATGTAATGAACATTTTATAAAAAAGTAGCAATTACTAAGGAAATAAAACAAATGACAATAACATTTACAACAAATGTTCGAAAAGTCCTCCATTAACGTTGATGCATAACTGCTATAGTTTACAAATACTATTGCGTAAAGTATTTATAATGTGCACGGGATTAACACCTTGAATTGCAGTTTCAAAGCTTTCTTTAAGACTGTCTACGTTGTTGTGTCTTCTTGTGTAGATTTTTTCTTTTAAGAATCCCCACAAAAAAAATCAAGAGGTGTGGATCGGGTGATCGAGCCGGCCATCTTATAGGGCCATGAGTACCCATCCACTTATTTTGAAAAATTTCACTTAAAAAATTGGATGTGGTTTGTGCATTGTGGGCAGGTGCGAGATCCTACTGAAAATACAAATTCTGATACTCATAGAGAGTCATATTGTTTGTTTCAAATGCTCTTTCAACATAACAACAAAGTTTTCGGCACGTAAGTTTTCTTCATATAGATGATAAGCCATTTTTGATAAATAGCTACCCACACATTAAAGCCAAATCGGCCCTGGTACATGCCGTTATCTATTACTCGATGTTCATTTATGTTGTTCTAGTATCGCAAATTGTTTCTATTAACAATTCCATCACTACTAATGCGAGCTTCGTCTGTCCAAATAATGTTTTTCCAAAACCATGGATTTTCTTGTAACATACTGGCATAGCACTGGCAAAGCTCTAATCGGCGGTTGCTGATGTCGCCTGGATGTAGCTGATGACTTTTATGATACTTATAAGAACGGAATGTGTGTGTTTTTTTTTAATTTTTGACGTCTTCTTTTGACTGACCCCATCATTTTCAATTTTTCTAAAGGAAATATTAGAATTTGCTGTGACACTTCCTAATACGTTGATTTCTTCTTCTTCCCGGTTTTCTTCTACGTAACATTTTGGTCGTGGTTGTTTAACAGCACTAAATAATTTAAAATTTTTCACCAGTCGGTCAAATATTCTCAAGCTTGGTTGTCGCCTTTCTGGATATTTAATAATAATAATAATAATAATAATAATAATAATAATAATAATAATAAGCTTTATTATATTTAATATTTTTTTATTTATATTTAATAATATTTAATAATAAGCTTTTACATATTTACAATAAAAATTTAACAACTTAATACATTTTTTAAAGAACGTTTAAACGAAGAACGGGAGCAATTTGTAAAAAAATCTATACTCTTACAATAAAGATTACATGAACAGAGACCATTATTGAGAGGAGAACGCAAGGAAAAATTAGATGTAGAGGCATTAATATAAAAGAAGGGGATTTTGCGTACAGAATAATGAGGAACACAGAATTTAAATAAACAAAGAATGTCAGGAGCATCGATGAAATTATTGAGAACATTAAAAACGAAACAGATTGATAGATAAATTCTTCTAGTTTCCAACAATGCCAGTCCCAAATAGCTTAAGCAGTGAGCGTAATTGTTTACAACTGAGGACGGAAGTTTCCATTTTATAAAACTAAGAAATTTGTGCTGTACAGCTTCAATTCTCTCAATGTATGTTTTATAAAAAGGTGACCATAGAACACAAGCGTACTCTAATATAGAGCGAACAAGTGTAACAAAC